TTTTGGGCATTAATATGCAAATTTAACACTTTGTTTTCCTATTTTTGTCTCTCACGTTGTAACATCGTTTTTCAATCCTTAGTTTTCATTATATTATCTTTTTATATTTTAAAATTAAAATATACTTCAGCTTATATTACTCTTATTATTTAAATTTCATTCTTTGAATCTATCCTTTTTTATTAAAATTCTCGTTTAATTAATATTTTTTATACATAATTTTATTTATTGATAAATATAATTTATTTTACTCTATGTTTAAATTTTAGAAGAAAATTTTAAAACATGATTTTTTTCTCTTTTTTTTAAATAAAATAGTATAATATATATCATGAATTCTTAGAATTTTTAAATAATAGTTGCATATATATATATATATTCTAAAAGGTTAAAAGTATATTTCAAATCATTTGTATCAGTTCACTAAGTATGGTTAAGACGTATAAAAAGAAAAACTATTGAATCATTGTTTTTTTTTATTATTAAAAGTTAACTATATATCTTCCAACATAATACAAATTATTTACTATGAATATTTTTTAACATTATAGAAATAATTTATTTGAAATAAAATAATTAAAATACTTTTTAAGGGAACCAACCAATTATTCAAATACATTTTTTTATGCTAATTTATTGTTTTGTATATATATATATATATATATATATACAAAACAATAAATTAGCATAAAAAAATGTATTTGAATAATTGGTTGGTTCCCTTAAAAAAGTATTGCATATACTTTCAAAAAAATAATCTTCTTGTCAATATTAAATAAGAATAAAATTTTATTTTTTTATTAGTTAATTTTTATTCAAGTCTATATATTAATTGTAACTTTATTTTTTGGATATATTCTTATAAAACAATATATTTTTAAAGTATTTATTTTTAAATTCTTAACTAATATTTCAGGTTTAAATTATTACAAGTTTTTATTTAAGAATACCTAAATAAAGAAGAATATATCATGTTTTCTTAAGTAGAAATTTTATAAAAAAACATAAAAAAATAGTAATAATTAAATAGATATTAATTTGTTCAAGAACTAATCAGACATTCATGTATATGTAAAATAGATCCCTCCCTCATCTAACGACGATATATATATATATATATATATATACACGTTCTCCGATACCAGATAGCCAGTGCTAAAAACAATAAAAACTACCATGATGGCATGATCCATATTCTATATCATACCCTGTGATATCGTTTCAATGTTTGAGACGATAATCATTTAGCATCGGCTGTGCCGATTGGTAATTCATTTAATATTTATTTTTAGATTTGATGGAAGAAACATGAATCATGAAAGGTCCGGCTTGGAATCATTTGCTTTCCCTCGTTCTCACTCCTCGGATCTTATTCCCTTTCATGTTTATGGCGAAAAAAAAAAAAACTTCATTAAAATAACGACAAAACTGTTACATGAGTGCTCAATTTTTATTTTTTTTTTCGAGTACACGACCGCTAAATTTTTCTATTAAAATTTTTTTTATTTTCCTATTTGAGTGCTCACATCCTAGAAATACTGAAGTGTCTCGGATAATTTGACACTTGTGAGTTTTTAAATGACACATGGTAAATATAGGTTACACTTGAAAAAATAAAAAACTGTAATTTAAACGTCCAATCTTTTATTATTTTTCTGTTTGAGTGTCTAACCTTTTATTCTATTTATTTGAGTATATGATGTTTGATCTTTTTTCTTTTTGAGTTTTTTAGATCACTTGAGACTAGAAAATGTTGAAGTTATTGGAATTTGCTAACACATAGTAATCTTTGCGTGACATATGACAAAAAATAAGTCTCATTTGGATTTTTATTGACAAAAAGGTAAAAGTTTTATTAAAGAAAATAGTTGGTAAGAATTAAAAAAAATCAAAATCATTTACTTTTAGCATAATGAACTTTTATTATTTAGAATCAAAACTTAAAACTCTTGGATTAGGTAAAGAAAATATTTAGATAAGGATATCTTAGAAGTGTTTTAAAAAATTTGTTACTAAACTTGCGGAGGTCATTCGACCGAGGTAATTAATTTTATTTTTTTAGTTCTTGCAAGTAATTTTTTTTATAAAAGTTATATATATATATATATATATATATATTGTAATTTTTTTCTCTCAATAAAACCAAATAGGATTCAATTTTGCTACATGTCAATGGATAACTCACTACAAGAAAACAAAAAAATTAAATAGCAACGAAAATTAGTGACGAATCAATTTATGTCTCTATATTGCAAGTAAATAGCAACATAATGGCATGTGTTGGAACCAATAACAAAATAATGACTAATTAGTGATGGTTTTTTTTAGTGAAGATAGCAATCTATTGCTAAATTTGGCACTAAAATATTCGAGGAGTTTTAAAGGCGGTTTAGCAATGGATTTGCTTGGAAAATAGCGATGAAACTGTTAATCCGTTGCTATTTTCAATGTCTAAATTTAGCAATACAATATCCAACACTAGAATAAATATCCATCATAATTTAGCGATGGGAAAGTCTGTCACTAAAGGCAAAAAATTAGATAGATTTTTGAAGGTCAAAATTGCCAAATTAACAACCGGCACTTACGTCCATCGCTATACGTAAAAAAATAAAAATAAAATAAAATAAAATAGGCGGCCAACTGTAATTAATTAACCACTTATATTTTGATAGATTAGCGACATACGTAAGTGTACGTCACTAATTAGTGACAAATCAATGAAGGGTTGCATTCATCGCTATTTTCTAGTCCCTAATTACACCATTTTATTCTTCTTCCTCCCCAATTTTCTTCTTGCTTTCCTTCTCCAAACGGCCATGACGGTTAATTTTATTTAATCGGTTGAATTTTAATTTTATTTGTATTCAAAATTTTTAATTAATAATTAATTTTAAATTTAATTTGGTTAGAATTAGAATTAATTAAGTTAATTCGATTTATGTTTAATTAATTAATTAAATTAAATTTATTTAATTGGTTGAGTTTTAAATTTATATAAGAAATTGCTAATTAATTAATATTTTAAATTTAATTTGATTAGAATTAGAATTAATAAATTTTATTTTATTTATATTAAATTAGTTAATTATGTTAATTTTGTCTAATTGGTTGAATTAGAATTTTATTTATATTACACTTCAAGAAATCGACAATTAGCGACGGATATTTCCATCACTAATTATGTGAAATTTGTCGCTGGCCATATTCAATTAATGATGGATTTGCAACAAAAAAAATATCATAGGCAAAATGATTATCGCTAACCCTTGTGACGGATTCAATATTATTCGTTGCTATTTAGCGATGGATAATCTGTCGCTAAAATGTCTTTTCACCACCAACTTGACTCGAGAAAATGCCACATGAATCTTCACAAATCCGTTGCAACCTCGTCCTTAATCTATTGCTAAATAACGACAAGTCAAACCACCACTAGTAACCAATGCTAATTTCGATCGCTAATCCGTTGCCTTTTTGGTTGCTAGATAGATGTTAAATTGCGATCTATTTTTTTCTATCGCTATATTTTTTGCTGAATTTAATTTTTTTCTTCAATCCATTGCTAATCTTTCAATAATATGTTGCTAATCTGTTGTAATTCCATCGCTAATTCATCAACAATTTTTTTAAATTTTTTTATTTAATTTTAAAATTTTTGATATTCTTGAATAATATATCATTTTTTAATAAGGTGTTATTTATACTTTTTTATTATTAAAATTAAAAATATATGGCTACTAATTTAAAATAAAAATAAAAAATAGAATTGCGTGTGCTTTTAACCGCAAAGACATACCCAATCACTAAATAGCGATGAAGCAACGGAATTGCGATGATTTTATTTTTTCAACTCTTGCCGGTAATTTTTTTTAATAAAAGTTTTATAATTTTTGGTAATTTTTTTCTCATTAAATCCAAGTAGGATTCACTTTTGCGGAGTGTTAATGAATACCTATCATGTCAATATTTTCTAATTTCATGTGACTAAAAGAACTCAAATAGAAAACAAATCAAATGTTAGAAACTCAAATAGAAAAATAATCATAAATTAAGCACTCAAAATACTGTATTATATATATATATATATATATATATATATATATATATATATATATATATATATATAGTTTAAGTAAGTCCTATTTTGGTCCTGCGGCATTTTATCCTGGATACATTAATATTTTCGAAACATGGGCACTCAAAAAATTGAAAAAAAAAAAAATCAAAACGAAATCACTTAAATAAAAAGATTTAATAATTGGATACTTAAATGGGGGAAAAAAATTACAGATCAGGCAATTAAATTTCAAGTTTCTCTTAAAATTACTGATTTTTTTTTTTAATGAAATTTAAATTAGAATCTGCAACTCTACACGTCCAAGCAATTGACGAATGGCATCTGTCCTTTGTGCATTTGCCTTACACCAAATGTGAAAAATATTCTCCCCTTTATTCCCATCGATGAGTCTTTAACTTTTTGTTGGAAATAATAAAAGAACCTTCGCCATAATTATTTGGCTCCAGCATTCCAGCCTGCGTACATCCAAATAATTCAATAATAATATTATCCAGAAAAAACACTGGTATCTGGATTCAACTTTTAATATATATATATATATATATATGACAGAATAAACTTTATATCTAATTTCATTAACTTTTGTGTTCAACGAAATCAATTTATTTTTTTATTGTACCATAAAGATATTTTTGTGCGTGTATGATTTTAAGGATGCATTTTTCTTAAAAAACCTAAAATTAATTAAATAAATAATAGATAGTAATATACAAAATTGAGAAATAATCACCCACCTTAAAATTTAATTATTTTAGATAAAACTCAATTTTAACTATATAATTAAATATTCTATAACTCCAGTTACTTGACAAACAAAAAATATAAGCTGCAAGAAAGTAATATAAAAGTTACAAGGATTGACAATAAAATTTTATTGGGCAGCTTCATGCTCCTATCCGTATAAAATATACATATAGACATGAGTTCTAACAATTTCTCAGGTAATTATTTGGTGTTGCGACCAGAAGAAGTGAGTTATCTGAATGTCTTTCGCATCTTATGGAACGACGACATAGAGAAAAAAGCATTTGTGGACTTCCCAGATGGGAAGAAGGAGAATCTTCATCGTCGTTGGCTTATATTTATTTCTCTGCTATCACAAAAAATCCTGCAATCTATGGCCAGGCCAATTACATTATTTGGGTCAAGGTTCGAGATGTTGCTAAACCTTATATCATGTAACCGCAACATTTTTATGCTCTTCATAAATTCACTACAAGGTTCGTTCCCTACTATACATGTCATTCAGTCCTCGTTTTCCATGTTCAAATTTATCAATGATGTAATTAATTCATCATCATCCAAAAAAAAAAAAAAAAGATATGATTATAAACCTAGATTTGATGATGTGTAGGTAGGGTGGTAAGGCCAATTAAAGAATCAGAAACTTTCTTGTCAATTATTGGACATATGGACAAGCGTGTGGATTTAGACAAGAATATCAAGCTTGATGATAGCAGATACTACAGTGCACTCTCTGTAATGGCCGCTAAGATAGCTTATGAGAACAAAGCCTTTGTTGAAAACGCAGTCATAAATCACTGGAAGGTAAATGGTACTAAAATTTTGAGATTTTATGTTGCACCTTCATATGCGTAAAAACTAGTCCTATCTATCAAGTTTACATCATAGGTTGCTCTTTCCATCTATTGAAGTTTGTTTTTGTTATTTATTTATTATTATCATTATTATTTTGCAGATGGAGTTCCTTGGATACTATGATTTTTGGAATGGTAAGAAACAATCTTATTGGGAAATTAATTTCGATAGTCACGCATTGTCCATTACTTGTGTTTAACTTCCAAAAATGGACAAAATCACCTCACATTCTGATCATGGATGACTGTCCAAATTTCTTCATCATCTTCTTCTAACATTTTTGCATAAGTTCCTTAATTTCCCCTTGCATCTTTGAACTGCCATTTTCTCCTGCCTTCAAATGTAGGCAAACCTTTCATTTTTTCACATCACAAATATATAGATGATAACGGTTATTGGTATATGTTTGCCAGATTTTCAACGAAAACTTTCAACACAAGGCTTCGTGCTTCATGATAAAAATGCATACCCTGACGTAATTGTCGTGGCCTTTAGAGGTACGGAAGCCTTTGATGCGGATGCATGGTGTACTGATTTTGATATCTCCTGGTATGAGTTTCCTGGCATTGGAAAAATTCATGGTGGCTTTATGAAAGCATTAGGCTTAATAATGCAACAGGGCTGGCCTCGAGAATTTACACAAGCCGATGACCGGCCGATAGCTTACTACACCATAAGAGAGAAATTGAGAGAACTTCTGAAACAAAACAAAAAAACAAAATTTATATTGACTGGCCACAGCATGGGTGGGGCAATTGCAATTCTCTTCCCAGCTGTCCTAGCAATGCATGAAGAGAGATGGTTATTGAAAAGATTGGAAGGTGTGTATACGTTTGGTCAGCCTAGGGTTGGAGATGAGGAATTCAAGAGTTTTATGGATAGTCAGTTGGAAAAGTATGGATTTAAGTACTTGAGGTTCGTCTATTGTAATGATGTGATTCCCAGGTTGCCCACAGATGATTCAACATTTCTCTTCAAGCATTTTGGTACATGCGTCTACTTCAATAGCTGCTATAATGGGAAGGTAATATGCTGAATCCTCTTCAAGCAAACGCATCAAAACACAATTATACATGTCACTAGATATAACCAATTTGATTGATAGCATCATTTTGAATGTTCTGGCTGCCTCTCTCTCTCTCTCTCTCTTTTGTTTTTTTGGAAGAAGAAGAAGAAGAAGAAGAAATATCTCTTTGAATATATGGCAAAATGTCCTTCCTAGAAATTATACTATTGTTGTACATATTTAAGGCATTTTAGGCCAACATTAGCTTGGTAGGTGTTACAAGATACCAATATTAAGCTAAAAAGAAAAAAGAATCTTTATAAATAGGGCATCCACCAACACCAATTTGAATAGATGTCATGAGATTTTGCAATAATGTTAAAAAGTCTTTTTTGTTTCGCTGCCTTAAAATGTTCATGAAAATGATTCCTTTCAATGCAGATAGTTTCAGAAGAACCACACAAGAATTATATATCTGTATGTGCAGCTATACCAAGGTTTCTAAATGCAGTATGGGAGCTAGTAAGAAGCTTCCTTTTGCCTTACAGAAATGGGCCAGAATATAAAGAACCTTGGTTGCTGATACTGGTTAGATGGTATGGACTCCACTTCCAGGTTTGGCAGCTCACAATCCACAAGATTACGTTAATGTAACCCGATTGGGACCTGACACTATATATCATTGTCTTCATTACCCAAAGCTTAGAAGTGTCTCTAATTCAGATGCAACAGAAGATTGATTATGGTTGAGGGTTTATTACTTCAGCAAGTTGATTGAAAAGAATATATATATATATATATATATTCTTTTCAAGACATGACATGTAATATTGGAAATGTAAATTTGTTTGCTTACTATTGACCGTTTGTTTTTTTTTTTTTTCCCTTTTTTACTGCCTTTAGAACACCAAAACTTTTGTATAATTTCTATACAAATGAATGCACAAGAATATTCTATAAATAAAATTATTTTATTTCATTGAAAGGTCTAAAAAGTGTTGGGGGCTTTACAATAATGTATCATGATATAGAGTTTGATAGTTGAGATTGAGTTTTATTCAAAAGACTTAAAACTTATAGTGAGTGATTTTTTCTCAACTCTATATATATATATTATTCATCTATTATTTATTTATATTTATTTAACATACAATAGGTTCTCTAATACTCCACTCACATACGGTTTATCTTTTAAGATTTGTTAAGTGGTTTGAGATTTGAAATCTTTGATAGGCCGTTGGGTCTCTTTGAGACCTAATACCATATATAGTTAGATAGTGAAGACTGAATTTCATTGAAAAAAAACTTAAGTCTTACGATGATTGGTCATTTCTCAACTTTATATATTACTCATCTATTATTTATTTATTTAATATGGGATATATTTTCTAAAAACTGAATATTATGAAAATTATGTTTTATTATTCTCACTTACGTAAGTTTTTCTATATTGACTATTTATATATTTATAATGTTAGATAGAGAAACGAGATAACAAAGGCCTAACTAAGTTACAATACTTAAGGGCTAAGTATTACAAGTTAACTCAAAATCTATCTACAAAATAAATTCTTGTTTAGAGTTGTTATTAGTGTTTTTCTCCTTGTTATTGCTGGCATCTTTTTCTCCTTGTTGTTATCGGTTGTCCAAGTTGTTATGCTTAATAGAATATTATTATCTTGATACTCTCCCATAAAATATTGTGATTGAGAAGTTGATGGTTGCATTGTGAGTTTACCTCTCAAAAGCTGAAACTTGATTACGGATAATGGTTTAGTTGAGATGTCAACTACCTAATTCTAACTTGAAATAAATCAAACATAGATGGCATCGTTTTGTGAAGAATTAGACGAGCACAAAGCTCCAAACCTTTTTTAGTTGTTGTTGTTGTCAAATTTTAGTCCCTTTGAAAGACTTAGAAAACATGATTATTTTTTTTATTATTTGAAAAAGATGGATGATATGGAAGTTTCAAGCTCAACAGATTAGGCGAAAACTTTGTATGGGTGGAAAAGTTCTTAATTTGATTGATTTTGACAAAGTTCTTGACAAACCCCACTATAATCCCATTAAATGTTTAACCCAATATGATTTTGACAAGGTTAATTATCCCACTACACCCGTTGGTTCGAGTTTTAGATGATCAATATACTACCTTAATTGATCAAGTCAAGGATATAGAAAACAAACCCCGAGCAATGCATAGGAGTTCAAGTGTTTAGAGATAAACTTCTCAAGTATTTTATTAATTCTCAAAGCATGAAAGAATTGTCTCTTTATAACTATATATAAAGCTCCAATTTATACTAGTTATAGGTCGGTTATAGAAGGCAATATTATCCTTGCAAAATTTGGATTACATAAGATAAGATAATACCAAAGAAAATTTATATCTCTAGTTTCATATATCTTTATGACACTTTAATTCTATTTTAATCTAGCTTAAATAAAGGACTCAAGCTCTACTTAAGACTTATTGTTCCATTCAAATCCTATTTAAAGTCACTTATCCTAACATAAGATAAGGATAATTTTGTCCTAACAAGATAAATTTAGCCCATCTTAAAAATAAATAAATAAATCCCCTTAAACTAATTGACTTATATTTTCGACCCTATTGAGGATATTTGGACCACACTCTGTGTCACTAAAGTTCACCCTTTATAAATTTATCCTAAACAAAGTGATAATCAATTTCTATATGCTTTATTCGGGCATGGAATAGAGGATTGACAACAAGATGTATTGCTCCAAGGTTGTCACACCAAAGAATGGGTGGTGTGGTGACAAAAATACCTAACTCAATTAACAAGGATTGAAACTAAGTTAGTTTTTTCATTGCATCTTCCACTACTTTATATTCTTCCTTAATGGAGTTTCGAGAAACTATTTTTTATTTTGATGACTTCTAAAAAATTAAGTTATTGCTGAAATAAATAGCAAAACCTCTTGTAATGTTTCTTTCATCTAAACACTCAACCCAATCAAAATTCGAAAAGCCTTGTACCAAATTATGAGTATGCTTTATGAAATGCAAACTATAATTCATAAAATATTTTAAGTAACAAAAAATCTATTTAACTCGTCATCCAATTATCTTTCATAACATTATGCATATACTAAAATACATGACATAAGGTCTAGTCAAGGTCATATATTAGACGGCACCCTTTATTTATCTATATAAAGTAGCTTCATCAAGGGAGGTTCTTGACTATTTGTGAAGTTTGAAAGTTGTGGAAATGGATATATAGACTACATTACGTATGTTCATGCCAATTCCGTACAAAACATCTCTAATATACATGTGTTGGGACAATAGTAAACCATTAGGCGCTATAATTGCCTCAATGCTAAGAAAGGTTTTTACTACTCCAAGGTTTTAAATAGAAAATTTGTTATTTAGAGCTTGAATGATGGAGAAGATGATTGTGTACTAGGGGTGAGCATTCGGTTAAACGGTTCGGTTTTGTACGATTCGGTTCGGTTTTTGGTTAACCGAATTAAAAAAAAATAAAAACCAAAACCGAACCGAAATAAATTCGGTAAATTCGATTTGTAACCGAATTATTTCGATTTAGTTTCAAAATATTTTAGTTTTAACTAAAATATTTTGCTATAAAAAAATCATTACGGAGAGATGTTTTGTACTAGCACTTAGTCCACTAGCCAATGAAGTAACATCTTATTATCAATTAATCTTTTTTATAAACAATCACAAAGCCCTCGAAGATTTTAACTAAGCTTTAATGAAAACGAATCCAAGTGTAATAAATTTGCTCATTGAAACACACTCGTATCCCAATTAATTACACTCGTCACTTTCTTTTCTTACCCCAACGGTCCTCAAAATTTACTTCCCATCCGTGTGTTTCAGTTTCAACAAGAATGAAGATTGAAAAGTTAAGGATTTAGAAATGAGAAAATTTTTTACTTTTTATTTTGATTTTCGGTCGAAACCGAAATTTTTTTTCTAAAAACCGAACCAAACCGAAATAATTTCAGTTTTTTCTATTCGATTTTATATTGTATAATTTTATATTTAAAACCGAACCCAATTTCATAATTCGATTCGGTTTTATTCAATTTTCGATTAACCGAACCGTTTGCTCACCCCTATTATATACATGTTTCCAGTAATAATGATATCAATATAAACTAAAAAAATTATTTGAATACCATCATTGTTGTAGAAAAAAAATGAGCAACTAGTTGTGGATGCATTAAACCTAATATCTAAAAGAAAATTATGTAGATAGGAGAACCAAAATCTAGAAGATTGTTTTAAGCCATAAAGAGAGCATTATAATTTCCATATATGATTCATATATTATTCATCAACAAATCCTAAAGGCTACCTTCCATAAATATATATAGTTAGTTAGTTAGTTAGTTTTAGTTAGGATACCATTGAGGAATAAATTATGGAAATCAAGCTAACAAATTATCTAAGATTGTGACACGATAATGGATAGCATACATCTTATAGTGGTAGGTTTAACAATAGAACTAAAGGTAACTTTATATATATATATATTAGTTAGTTAGTTAGTTTTAGTCGGGATACCATTAAGGAATAAATTATGGAAATAAAGCTAATGAATTTTCTAAGATTGTGACACGATAATGGATAGCATACATCTAATAGTGGCGAGTTTAACAATGGGACTCGAAGGTCCCTATATAATTAACCCCTTTTGTTGAATAAAAATCTTTTGCTATAAGTTCACACCTATTTCTTTCAAGGCTACTATGGGCATGGGTTTTGTTTCTAAACACTTATTTTCTTCCAATAGCATTCATACTTGAGAATATAGAACCATGGACCATATGCCATTTTTTTAACAAGGCATTTATTTCTACTATCATGGCTAAACTCGATCCTAGGTACTGCATTACTTGAGAATAAGAAGTGGGATCAAAAAATAGGGAGAAGAAATCATACCCGTATTTACCTTAAGAGGCCTTACTAATTTGAGTTTCATATGATCCGTTCAAAAAGAAGTGGTGATAACTTTTCGTGATGGTTAGAGATTAAAGTCGCTTAGATCAACAACTAGGTTGAGGCCTATTTCTTATTGGTACTATCACGTATATATGTAAAGCATTGTAGTGGTAAATGTTATTGGATTGAATTAAAAGTTGTTACTAGAGTGAAACTAACTTGTTTATGATGATTAAATTATGAATTTATAACTAACAATCTCAACAAACCAAATTCATTTTAATTAAAAACTAACAAGTTAAAGCCTAGCTAAGTAGATGCCAACACCTATTAGAGTTTACATTCGTCTATAATGGTAAAGTCCATGACTCCACTATAACTTTGGTAAAAAGGAATACATGCTTCATCTAAGCAAGTACAAGGTAGCGTGAATGACTAAGTCCCCACCTTAATTGATTAAGTTAGGGATACAACATCAACACTCCTAAACAAAGCATAAGAAAATGCCAAAAGGGTAATAAATCTTTCTCACACAAATTTTATTCCATTTTAACAAAAAAAAACCTATCTTTTTTATATTACATAAGGATATTTAAATACTAGGTTCCTAGGACACACAAATGTACAATAACATCTCTAAAAATTTAAAAGGATATTTGGCCTCCTTTATTGTTCACATTAGACACGGATACATTAACCCTAATCCAAAACAAATATCGATTCCTAATTAAATATGGACCCTTAGTAATTATGGACTCCTAAATAAATATAGATCCATAACAAAGATGGATTTCA